AATCAACTGTAAAGCTGGATGAAATGCTCCAGAACAACTATTTCAGGACTCAAGGGCATGCATAGACTGATCAGCATCTATTCATGGACACGACTGAATTGGAATAATGACAGAAGTTCTGTGGTGTTTTTACTGGGGGCTCTGATGGAGTGGTAGTTTACCCTGTCCTCACAGAGTGCATTTCCAGCCTTTGCTCTAGGGGGCGCCACCCTTCACTTGGAGTGTTGTCAGTGAGTGAGGCCATGTACGTGCCCATGTGCTGTTCAGGATTTGGAGCCTGACACAGGTCCAATTTCAATCGTAGATAAAACTCTTTACAAAATGTGGGTTCTGGGAAATTTATCTCAGTGGGTCAATGCTCAGAGTTCCCAGCATTAAAAGCACAGTTTTAAAGTGCTCCCATCTTGGAGGTGTATTGTGAGGACCCACTAAGAAGGTAGGGGGTCATGGTTGCTGGAAGAGTTTGATGACGGGCTAAGCTCATGTGTCCACACCCCCAGCTCAGACTCTGGTGAGGGACGCTTGCCTACCCCGTTTCCACAAAAGGCTGTGACAAAGGGACAATTTGCGGAGGACTCAGTGACCCCATAATGTCTCTGTTTGCCTCCAAATCTCATCACATTAAGCTGCATTTAGAACTAAATATATGCATTGCTCATTAATTACAGTATTAAAACATCTTTAACCAAATGACTTCCAATCAGTTTTCAGCCTCTGAGACACCTGCCCAGGTGCCAGGGTCCTGACTCTTAGCATGCCCCAGATATCTGGGTGCAGGTGTGAGGGAGGGGAGAGCAGAAGTTACATGGTCCTGTGGAGGACTGTCCCAGCCCTTGTAGGACCAGCCTCTCCTTTAAAGGACCAAAGCTGCAGGGGGTTCACTGCACTAGAACCAGGCTGAAGTGGAAACCTGGGTCCCCATCTCTTTCCTCCAGTCGACACCATTTTTTCCAGGCTGTGTAGGGGGTGCATTTGAGGGCCCTGGCACCACCACAGCCCATGTTGCCTTGTTCTGGGGCAGAGGAGGGGGTCACAGGGTTTTACACTAATGCCAGGTTGCCTGGCTTGTTTTCTGAGAGCATCGACTCAGAGTTTCCCCATCAACAGTGTCACATGGATAGACAACCATTATCTCTCATGACCGTCTGCTAGGTTGTCTCCAAATAGATATATATGCCCCCATGTATACCCATGCACACACACAGCTACACACACAGACACACACACATCCAGGAAATAGCAAGTTCACCTTCCAAGTGGTTTTACCTTTAAAGTGGACATAGAGGTGTTTGTGGAGAGTTCTCTCTGTGGGATTTCCTGTGTGAACACAGAGAATGAACAATGGTGTCCTTATAAGGGGCAGCATGATTTCTGAAAATGACACTCATCAGAGATGAAGTATTTGGATGAACACTGGCATTTAAAGTACGTCCCTAAATCTGCCTTTGATAATACAAAATACTCAAGTCCCAGAATCGTGTGCATTTTCCTCATGTTAACATGACACACAGTCGTGTGTGGCACGTCACACAAACAGCGGTGATTTTCAGGGAATCTTGTGCTGGGGATGAAGCTCAGGGCTCTGGTCAGACCCCAATAGGAACTTTGTTAATCCTGGATGCACTCGATCTCTGAGTTGGTTCAAATATTCTCTTTAGAGGATAGGGAAGGAAAAGGCTTGTAAGATCATCAATATCTTTAAAAACAAGTCCAAGTATCAACTGCTTTTTCTAGAAAGCAGGCTAATAACCAATATAAAAAATGAAATAAGGTAAAATAAAGTAGCCATCATGAATTAGAATTGCTGAGTTGAGGGATAAGCAAGAATTTAGACCTGTCTCTGGGTACCTGATAAGAAATGCACTTCTGGCAGCTTGATCAAACTGACATTTATCATTTTAAGTGGTTTTCTGTCTAAAGACATAAAAGACATCTGGTAAACCCTGTTCTAGGTGTGAGTCAATGTGAACCTCACTTTCACTCCAATCAGTCCTGTGTGGCTGAGAGGAGAGGCTGAAGTTGTGGAAATTAGTAAAAGAAACCTTAACTAAATTGGAGTTATGATGGCCTGTAGCGGGAGTTCTCATCCTCATCACACATCATCAATTACACCAAACAGGAAGAAGGATGGCTTGCATCTTGAGCAGGACATACAATTACTTTACTACAGAAGGAAGATTTCTCTCCCCACCTGGCAACAGCCCAGCCAATAAGAAATGCAGCGTCCCAGCCAATGAGAAGCCGCCGCCACTCTCAACAGTTGTTTTCCCCCAATGGACTTTCCTTGAGAATAGCCCTTCCCTACTCCTCCTTTACTTGGTAAAAGCAGCTCCCTTCCTTTGTTTGCTGGATTTTATTACGGTTCACCATAGCATGCACATCCTGAATTGCAATCTTTTGGTTATTCCCAAACAAACTCATGTTGAGGGTAAAATAATAGGCGAATTTGCCTTTTAAGTTGGCAAAGTTCACCGGACCATGGAGCCTGCATTCAGATTGTACAAAATACTGTTCTGCTTAAATGTGAGGTTCCAGATTGTGCTTCATATTGGGGCTTCCTCTTTCTGTCTATTCAGTGAACACGTTTTGTTTTTTGTTTAAGCAATGGTGGACAACAAGCCCTTACGCACATTCCAGGGAAACGGGAGTGTTCACAGTGTTTGCTAATCCTCTTACCTGAGGGTTTAGGGCAGCAGGGCTATTAATTTGCAGCCTTTTCAGTAGCTTTTGGGGGCACCAAGGAGAAGTGCTGCAAGGATTCATCAAAGCTCAGAGTTAACAATTCCCCAGGAAGAAGAGGGTCTGGAGAGGAGAGAGCACACTTTTGTTCTGATAAAGGGAGAGTCAGCAGGGTCCCATCTCTGAGGTCAAAGAACGTGGACAGAGACAGTCAAGCAATGGCTATCCCTGGGCAAGATCCTCATCCCTGGTGTGCTAAGGGCTTCTGCTCATTGAGTCCTAGAGCTGACAGGAGGCTTGTAACTTCAAAGACCCCCACATTCAAATTGGTGGTGTTGGAGGTGACTGCTCCTCATGGTGAAAATGCTTTGTGTGTCTTTGTGGCTGGAAAGTGCTGGATGCACCATGCCAGGGGTCCCTTCTGTTCCAGTCTGGGTCATCACTTACCCTAGTTGAACTGACCTGATGGGAACCCAGGCAGAGGTATCCCTGGATCACAGAGCAGTGTTATTAGGCCCACAGATGATGCAGGGGCTGTACCTCTAAAGTGAAATTCATAACCAAGAAGCAGGGCACACTTTTCACACGCAACCCTAGAGCTCAGGGTGGCATGGGGCCACCTGTAAATTGCAAGTCCTCTCTGGGGAACGGTGATAATAGGGCACCCATGACTGAGATACAAATGCAGCATCTGCCCCTTCACCCTCAGGTCCAGGACCCAGACATGTGATAAGGGACTCACTTGTCAGGTGGATGCCCTAGAGGCTGCCCATGAATGGCTATGACTCTATTCTGGGAAACACAGAATGTGGGGCTGCTAACTCAGGTCTCTGCTTGTGTTTTCTCGCATGAAGGACTGATGTTGATTGGTGCTGTGGCCACAAGGTGATCAGTGTCCTGAACTGGAAATTAAACCGTGACCACACCCTCCTTAAGTGGATAGACAGACAGAAAGATGCCCAGATGGACAGACGTGTTCTGTGAGTATGTGGGGTTGACCTGGCACAACAACTCCAGTTGTCCCTCCATCGAGACCAGCCTGGTTGGCTTACCTATATTCAGGTGTCCTATTCATAGAAAAGGCTGAAATCCAAAAATATAGAGAATATGATGGTCATATGGAACTTCTCAATTTTTTCTTACCTAAAATTTAAATCTGTCATTTGCTTCCTGAGAATTTGATTTATTCAAAAGTTTATGTGAGGGGCCGGCCTGGTGGTGTAGTGTTTAGGTTCATGTGCTCCACTTCAGTGGCCTGGCGTTCGCGGGTTCAGATCCTGGGCTTGGGCCTACACACTGCTCATCAAGCCACACTGTGGTGGCATCCCACACACAAAAAACAGAGACATTGACACAGACGTTAGCTCGGGGACAATCTTCCTCAGCATAAAAAAAGATTGTGTGAGTAAATAAAGTGAAAATAGGGGCCGGCCCCATGGCTTAGTGGTTAAGTGCGCACGCTCCGCTACTGGCAGCACAGGTTCGGATCCTGGGCGCGCACCAACGCACTGCTTGTTTGGCCACGCTGAGGCGGCGTCCCACATACAGCAACTAGAAGGATGTGCAACTATGACATACAACTATCTACTGGGGCTTTGGGGAGTAAAAGGGAAAAAAAGGAGGAGGATTGGCAATAGATGTTAGCTCAGGGCCAGTCTTCCTCAGCAAAAAGAGGAGGATTGGCATGGATGTTAGATCATGACTTATCTTCCTCAAAAAAAAAAATAGTGTGAAAATAAAATCAAAACAAGATATAAAAAATCTCAGGATCATTGGGCAATGTGGAAGAATGAAAACATTATGGAAACAAATCCCAGTCTAAAAAATTAGGAAAGCTTTAATTTCTCAAGTCATGTAAGCATTCTTTGTAGGAAGGAAAATAAAAGAGTAAAACACTTTTAAGAGTGGAAAATTATTTGATTTATTCTCCCATCAGAAAAAAGTAAAAGCCACTCTTAAGTACAACCAAATTATAGGAGCATCGGACATGGGAAGTCCCTTTTCAGGTCTCATTTATCATTTATAATAAACCATTCCTTTTTAAAAACTGCCTCTTATACATTGTTATTCTTGAGAGAATGATTTATGTTGTGAAAGCAAAATGAAACTGATTTCCTGCTTATGGGTTTCTTCTGAGCATCAGTTGATCTGCAGAGTAACTGTCCATCATGCAGTTTTTCAGTGAGAAGAGGATCTTGGTTATCATTTTTACCTCTCTTACCAAAACAGATTCTTCCAGGACCAACCTAGCAGTAGAATAGGCCTGGAGAGTCTGGGGTCACCATATAAAGAGCCTGACTTGCAGGGTGCTTGCCATTTATTCTCACATCCAGTGTCCAGCATTCGCCACTAGCTCCACATATCTCAGGCGATGGAGGAAGCATAAGCCTCCTGTTGACTCAGGGAGACAGAGAAACATTTTTTGCATGACATTAGATGTTTTCAGAAGTTGCACCATCATCTTCTGTCTGGTGGGGCGTGGGCATCTTCATCTTCACCAGGCGTGTGTTTCCCAAGACCTCCTTTGGGCAGGCTCCTGCTGGGCACTTGAGTCCCAGACAGTAGTCACACTCCATCCTGCTTCAGGAAGCTCATGGTCCAGGATTGAGGGGCCAGTGGAGAACTGGCAATTATAACTCAACATATTGGGCATGTTGGAGTGACGGCCAAGGCACTCTGGGGACAAAAGACCCATGCAACTAAGACCATGAGATATGGATCCTGGCATGAAAGTGATGTCTACACTGGGATGCTCAAGAAATTTAGAAATTTGCCAGGTAGAGGAATAGCGTGTTCTAATTCCAAGAGCTGAGTAACAGTTTATTGTATGTAGCAGTCTGTAGATTGTTTTGTGTGGATACCGAATCAATTAGGAAAAAAAGGAATTAAGGGTAAGATGGAGAGGTCAGAAGAAGCCAACATCTTGAGTGTATTGGGTGCTAAGGATAGATGTGTGTTTTTTTCTCCAGAAGACAGTGGGGATGTAGAAAATGTATAAGTAAGAGATGATATTCTCAGAGTCTGAGTGAAAATATACCTGGCAGGAATTTTCATGGAGTTAAGAGTTGATGAGACATTCTAGAAGGAGATTCTGCTTGGTACTCACATTCCATTAGATGTGGTCAAATCATAATAGATGTTAAATATTATCATTATTTGTAAGTCTCTCCATCAGACTGAACTCCATGAGAATATAGACCCTATGTCTTTAAATTTGCATCAATCTAGAACAGCTATTATGTTCTGCAAGGATGAAAATGTTGTATATTTACTCTGTTCTCCAACACAGCCAGCAGGTACATGGGGCTTCTGAGCACTGGAATTGTAGCTAGTGTAGCTGAGGAACTGAATTTTAAATGGTATTTAATTTAATCTATTCTAATTTCAATTTAGATAGACATGCATCGGTAGTGGCTACCATATTAGGTAGCTCAGACAGAATTTACTTTGTCTCTGTAAAATTTTATTGATTAATTGAAGAATTGACTGGTAGAGTACACACATCAGGCTCTCTAGATTTGCTTTAGTAGTATTTCAGGAAAAGTAGGATGATAATGATTAGATTTCCAGTATGTGTGGGTGAGTACAGGAAAATCTCTGGAAATTATTGGCTATTCATAATAGAGTCCTGTAATAGAACTGATCATTTAGTAAGAAGTACTTAGATTTTAAAGATGATACTACAAGTCTTGAGACTCTGCTATTGTCAGCTCATAGGTCTAGGGAGGGGTTTCAGAGGAAGAAGAGTATCCTTAGAGGAACTCCTCCTTGGAAGAAATCCAGGTCCTTGCTTGGTAATAATCTGTGTGCTTAGAGCCTGGGGCCAGGTCTGGCCTCCGCATGGACTTGGTTTACATTGAGTTCCATGTAGATACTGTGCTGAGCTGAGGGGTACTTAGGGCTTACGGAAGTGGGAGTCAATCCTCTCTGTGAGAGGCTACAGTGGTTCAAATGGGCATATATCACATTCTGTGTTTCTTCTGCTGCAGGATCCTAAGAAGAGAAAGGTAAAGCATAATGGACTGAGAAGTGATCATTGAAGGCAGAATGATTGGACACGTGGAGAAGCTGTGTTGTGGTGAGGGTTTGGGCTGGGAGAACTCACCTTGCCATCCATCATTTAGTCTTTCTTGGGCTCTGTTTCCATAATGGCAGCATCTGAGAGTGGAAGGAGTAGTCAAGATTCTTCAGAGGTGTCTTATATCATAGACATCAAGGCCAGAAAAATGTAGTGGTGTGCCCGAGGTAGCTCAGGCTGGTTACCCCACTACGTTAAAAAAACCCCACATACAGCCACAGGCATACATTGAATGCTCCAAGGTATTGTCCAAACTCATTGTCCTCATCCTATATCCTCATTTAGAAACTAACTCCTTTCTCAGGTCAGTGGATTCCCAAGAGTTGAGGAAGAGATGGAGGAGAGATGGAGGTGGTAGGTGAGTTGAGGGAAAGGACAAGGGTCGCATTGGTCTCTCTGGAAGATCTTCCATCATGGATCTCAGCATCAAAACCACATATTGGCTCACAAGAAGTGAACAGGCATCTTTGTGCCCCAATCACACCTCCTACTCTGCCCAGATGGCACTGTCCTCTCCTCCTTCAGACTTAAAGATTTTTTGAAGAACACCAGTGACAAAAAGGAGCAGCAATGAAAATGCCAGTGGAGATGAAGGCTATGGAGAGTCCAATGGGAATGTACAGCTTGCTGAAGTGTCCTTGAGGAAGATGTGCTTCTGTCAATAAAAAATGACAAAAACCCATATTTACTGGTTGCCTATTTGTGCCGGTACCTGCTGGACTCATTACATATCTTGTCTCAAACTCCCCCCATCTCTAAATTTGACCAATTACTTTCTCAATTTTTTAACACATGCACAAAAATCCAAGAGAAGTTATGACAGTGGTCCAAATCCCAAGAGGCACCGAGAGAAAAGCAGATCTCAGAAATCAGGTCTATCAGGCTCCAATGAGTCTTTTTCTGCTGCCCCATGAGACAAGACATTAGGTTTTTGCATGAAAGGGATCCCCCTGCATCAACCATAGCTGAACACCTTTACCTCCTGCCCCTTCTCAATCCACCGCAGCTGCACATACTGAGAGTTGAGATGGAGGTGGCCAGAGTTTAGAGGGTGCCTCTAGTTCACAGTTCTGTGATTTGAACTTGCTCTAAAAACTATTGCTGTACCCTTCCAGAATGACTAAGAATGGGGTGAATGGAGGTATTCAGGAGAGGGGAAGGGAGTGATCAAGTGCTATATTATATATTGAGCACCTTGTCTGTGCCTGGGCCCCTTCTGGGGTAAGCGGACATTCACATTTATGAATGTGTGTCTTTTCCTCAGCACAAGCCTTGGAGGGAGGCATCATTAGCCTAACAGTCTAGTTGAGAAAATTAGTTTAGTCACTAAAACCAGAAGAGCTATCAGTAGAGCCCAAGAGCCTGACTCTAAACTTCTGTCTTTCAAGAACTATGCCCTGCTCCCTCCCTAGGCTCCATGCCCAGCTGTCCCTTTCTCTGACAGCCCAAGTATGAGTTCCCTCCCAGTGAAGTAGAGAATCTGAGAGAAATGAAAATGCCCAAGGTCACTCAGCTGAGAAATACAAGAACTATGTTCTGAAATCTCTTTCTTAATGAATCTACCTCCACCTACTCAACTTCATTCCCAGCGCTTTTCTGGCCAAGTCACCATGATTTTTCTCCACAAGGGCTGTCACAGCCTCCCTCCAGGCTCATGGTTTCTACTCATGTTTCTTTAAATAAATTATGTTCACACCTGCCAATTGGTTCCCTCTACCTTTTCATGAACACCATGCCCCTTTTCCGATATAAATATTTTACTGGCTTCCCGTTTCAGATCGAGTAAAATCCAAGCTCATTGTCACTGCCTACCCACCTTTAGCTAACTTGGCTCCAGTCTCTCTCTCTCAACTCCACCTCACCCAGCACACGTCAGGCTCACTGGTTCCTTGAACCCACCAAGCTCATTCCCAGGTTGGATTCATGGCACTCGTGGTTCCATCTGTTGGGAATATCCTTCCACTAATCTTCTCAGGACTGGCTTTCCTTATCATTAGATCACATCTGAAATGTCACTCTCATTAGGGTCTTCTCTACCAGTCACTCTAAATTATCCACTTAAGCTTTCCATATCACATGACCCTATGCTAATGTATATGAATTAAAGAATCAATGAATTTTCATTCATTTATTCACCATACTTTTTCTCCTCCATCCACATGTCTGGAATATGATCCTCATGAAGATAGAATCCTTTTCCTTGTTAACTGTTGAATATTCAGCTAGTAGAATATTAACAGATGGACAGTACATATTTAATGTGTTCCCTTAAATCCTTCCCACCTCGCATCATTCCCATCCCCACAGACCCTGATTGAGGGAGGATGAGCATCTCTCCTGGGTGTGGGGTCAGGATCCCTGTGACCCCTTCATTCCTATTGGAAAAGGCCTCATTCCTAGAGCATGAAGGCTAAATGCCCCCTCTGAATCCCACACCGACCACAGTTTCAAATGCTGATGGAGAATTTGGGGATCAGAGTGTGAAGTTGACTAGCCCAAGGTCATAGAGCTGGGAGGTGGCAGAGCCAACACTCACACAGGAGTCCTCTGCCTCCCCAGGATTCATGGATTAAATTAAGAGACCTCTTTGCTCAAGTTTCGTGGTGCTTGGTTCTATGGGTGATGGGCAATTACCAGTAGATATTCCTAAGAAAAGAGGCAGAGAAGGGGTGGGCAAATGTTCTTCCTCACCCACTGAAGTAGAACCATTCCTCTGGAAGGTTGGTCTCCTGTCCACCTCTCAGTCTGTCATCCCCCTAAGAACTGATGGCGGCTTCTGGTCCCTCCACCTGAATGTTTGAGCAATGACTCCCCCTCTGTGATGTGATGGCGTAAAAAGGACTAAAATAAGCCTGGTGATGAAAGACAGCTATGATCAGGAGACAGTCTGCCCCCTCAGGTGATACATATCTGTGCTCCTAAACTGGGAAATCACTTGTGTGTCAGAGGGGCTTCTGGAAAACAAATGAGGGTGAGGACCTGATGCAATTTCCAGTCTTTCCAAACTGGATACAGGCTCTCCTCTTCCCGGGTCTGCCCTACAGAGGTAACACCTGCGTTCGGACATTATTTTAATTTTTATTGAGGTATAATTGACACATATTAGCTGTTTGTAATTTTAGTTTGTGCATTTTTACTGCCAGATAATATTCCATTGCATATATATATATCACAAATATTCATTATTTGTGAGATTTACTTCTATAGTTAGTGTCTAAAATGAATGAAACCACTGTCAACATTCTCATAAATATATCGTTGTTTATATGCACACATTTTAACCTAGGAGATACATCTATCTATCTATATATATACACACACATTATCACTTAAAAGGACAGATGTGTGTCTCTTCCTTTTAACTGATAATTGTTATTTACTCCCCAAACAGACTGAAGATAATTCTTATCTACTCTGCAAATTAACTGCAGCAATTTCTACTCCTACCAGAATAGTATTGAGATTCTAAGTACTTGGTATTTTCTCCCACAGTTGATTTTGCCATTTTTTTGGTCTCTAATATGGATGTACTAGAATTTTGACATCACAATTTCATCGATGTGGGAGTGTGGGGACCTTATGAAGAAGGAGAAACCATGAAAAGATAGGAGTTACCACAAATGTGGTGAGGGACTTGCATGGTCGATCAGGAAGAGGGTCTACTAGTCTAGGAACTGTGAGTAATCAGGTAACATTGTGTCCTGGTCACACAGATCTTATGTACCCTACAAGTATTTCTGAATTTTTCTTTCAGCGACAGGAAAATGCTCAGTAAAGGAGCGTATGAACACATTGCTGTTTTGAGAACACCACTTTGTAGGTACCGTTGTGTAAGAGGACTCTATTGTTACAAACAGTGAAAAGATCCAACATTAATCCAACCCCTCGATGATGATTGATCAGTAGTCTAAGTGGTTTACGAGGATATCGCATGCAACCCTTCCACAAATCCCACAACCAAAATACGTGAACAGTGGAGTGGGCTAAGGCAGGAAGAGTTTTTGGTTGTTATCATGGTCTAGGAGGTTTTGAACGGAGTTGGCTATGTTCAAATTAGTGCAGGAAGCCACCCATGAGAAGGGACAAATATGGCATTGACTAGATTATGTGTGTGTCTGGGGAGGGGAGGTGGTCAGCTGGGATGAGTTTGGTTTGTTGGGAGGACCCAGTTTTGCTGAGGCTGGAGACTTTAGCTCAGCCAAACAACCAAGCTCATGGATTTTCAGGCGGAAATAGTTGGAATTTACTTGAAGAAAAAAGGAGATCTGTGGATGGTTTTATTCAGGGTAGGGTCACTGACAGATAAGCTTGGGGCCATGAATACGAAACACTTCATCAAGGAGGGAGGGCCTGAGATAGGAGGTAGCAAGGAGGCTGATGGGGTGGTGCCAGCAAGATGTCTTGATTCTGCAACTGAACTTTACTGTGGTGATGGACTGGGGTCATGGAAAGTAGGGCTCAGGGGCAGAACTGTGTATTTTTTCATTGTATGTGAGATGGAAGAGAGTGAAGAATGGAGAACTCTTTCATTCTCTGCCTTGCTTGACAGGAGGAGCCAATGGGGCTATCACAGGGTGGATGACCCCAAGAGGAGAAGGAGGCGTGGGGAGATGTTTATAATACTGTCAACTGACTTATAGTGGGAACCACCACCTCCCTCCTTTCCTGGGTCTGTGGTTTTGTTTCTTCCAAACACTTCCTCTCTCTAACTTTCTTTTTTTCTATAAGCAGCAGCACTTTCTCTACCACTTTCCAAGAAAACCTCTGAGTCATTTCTGCCTCCTCACCACCTCTTGTCCCCCAAACAATAATTCTTCATCTGATAATGTGAATTCTATCTCTGTGCTTTGAGCAAAAGCACTAGTTGGAGTCAATTTATAGATTTGCTTTTGTTGTTTTTCCATTCCTCAGTTGATGCGCATTTGGGCTGTTGTCACTTTTTGTCTGTTGCGAATATTTCTTCTATGAACACATTTTCGTAAGTGTTTGTTCAGATAGCTGTTTGCAGTTTTTTTCTTTTCTTTTCTTTTTTCTACCTTTTCTAAGGTAAAAGCACTTAACTTGAGATCTATCCCCTTTACAAATTTTCATGCACAGTACGGTATTGCTAAATATAGGCACACAGTTGTAGGGCAGATATCCAGAACTTACTACTCTTGCATATCTGAAACTGAGACCTAGAAGCGGAATTTCTAGGTCATATGTAAATTTGGGTCTAACTTTTTGAGGATCTGCCAGACTGCTTTCCACAGTGGCTGAAACATTTCACATTCCCACCAGCAAAGTATGTGGGTTCAGATTTCTCTACATCCTCATCAACACTTGTTATTATTTTTCAAATTATGGCCCATCTAGTAGGTGTGAAGTGGTATCCCATTGTGGTTTATTTGCATTTCCATAATGACTAATAAGTTGACCATCTTTCATATGCTCTCTCTGCATTTATGTATCTTCTTTGTAGAAATGTCTATTCAAGCCATTAGACTGTTTTTTAATTGAGTCTTTTTGTTGTTGTTGAATTAATATTCAACCTAATATTGTGAATATTAGGTCCTTATTAGATATATGACTTGTAAATATTTTTTCCAATTTTGTAGGTTGTCTTTTACCCTCTTGATAGCATATTTTAGTGCATGTATATTTTAAATATTGATGAAATTCAGTTCATGTATTTTTTTTTTCTTTTGCTGCTGGTCCTTTCAGTGTCATATCTAAAAAACTATTGCCTAGTCAAAGTTTATGAAGATTTATTTTATTTCTGAAAGAGTTTTATAATTTTAGCTCTTAAATTCAACAATTTTGTGCAAATTTTTGCATATGGTGTGTGTACAGATCCAGCTTCCTTCTTTTGCAGGTGGATATCCAGTTCTTCCAATACAATTTATTGAAAAGACTATCCTTTCCTCATTGAGTGGTCTTGGCACCTTCATCAATAGTCATCTACTCATATGTATGAGTTTGTATCTCGTCCTTCGCTTTTATTCCATGCAGCTGTATGTCTGTCCTTATGCCAACATCTCACTGCTGTGATTCCTGGAGATTTGTAGTAATTTTCAAATGAGGAAGTGTGAGTTTTCCAACTTTGTTCTTCTTTTTGTTTTCCAATATTTTTTGGCTTTTGTGAGTCTTTTACTATTACCTTGAATTAGAGAAACAGCTTTTTCATTTCTGCAGAAATGGCCTTTGGAATTTGATAGGGATTGCACTGATTCTGTAGATTGCCTAGAAGAATATTGTCATCTTTACAACGTTTAAGCTTCCAAGCCATGATCCTAGGATGTCTTTCCACTGATTTAGGTCTTTTCAAATTTTCTTCAGCATG